GCCACCGCCCCCGCCAGGCAGCCTCAATCGACAGCAGAGCCCCGCCCGGGCGGCGCGTTGCTACGGCGACAGCACCGGGACGGGGCGGGGAAGGCGCCCTCCCCCGCGGCCGCTCCCGCCTCTGCACCGCCTCCCGCTCCTCCCCCCCCCCGACCATGGGGAGCAGCGAGCCGTCGGTAGAGGGTAACGTTTCATTTTAATCAGTTAAAAAAAATTACAGTGACTGCAAAAAACGCACAAACGCTCCCAACAGAATTCACAGAAAACACGAGCAGCAACTTAGGCTGTATCCACTGGGCGTGGGATTGTAAGGCATTGACATGTTAAAAACTTAACTTTTATACAATAGTGCAAACTCGCCAGTGCCCCACGAACAACATTCAGTGCTTTTTCTTTCAAGCTCACCCGTGGGTGCCAAAAATTACCGAGACCCTGCTGGCCGGGGCGGGAGGGTGAGCAGGCCCCGCTGCCCCCCTGCTCCTCAGAGGGAAGCAGAAATGCAGGCTGGGGGGATGCAGGGCCTAGCGGGAGAGAGGCCCTTTCCCACCGCAGCAAGGCCACCGCCTCACCGCCCCGTCCAGCCTGTCTCCCCACACATGGTGGCAGCTCCTACAACCTTGCCCGCCTAGCACCTGGCGGCAAGGCAAAGGTGAGGCCTCAGGAAGCCGTCCCGCCAGCTTGGCAGCCTTGCTATTTTCAGCAGCGCTTACAAGCGGGCAGCTGTCCACAGGGCATTAAGGGAACATACAGGCAGGGAGAAACCACCCTCCAAGAGCGCTGTGGACCTGCACGGGGATATCCAGCCCTGCTGAGGGGATGCCCACGAGCAGTTCTGGGCATGACTACCAATGGGTCGGATTCTGCTGTTTCTTCATGCTTACGAACTTTCCAAAACCATACAAATGTCTCATTTCTATTGCATGTGCTCAGAATGTCACATCAGGCTATGGGCTGTTGTCTATAAATGGGAGATGTGTTATCTGAGGATGCAAGCAAAGTATTGCTGCTTTTGGTAAGTGAAATATTAGATATTAGATATTAAGTGTTAAGGCATTTGCATTTCAGTGATGTGGGAGAAGAGGAAGGAGCAACGAAGGAGAGGGAAGTGCACAGGGAGAACAGAAAGATTGCTGGGGGAAGAGAGAACAGCTGCTTCCAGAAAAACAACAGCACGAAGCCGGCTGTGGTAAGGACATACCACATTTCCCCTGAGATAGCCAAGGCAAATTTTCATCCCAGTTCTCGGCTTAGATGAGTTACCTTCCACTTAAATTCACATTCAAAGCAGACCCAGCCTTACCATCATAATTTTTCTGGAGCTCATAATCCCATACTACACACAACAGCAGACCAAGATCACTAACCAAGGCTAAAGGAGGGTGTTAAAAGGAAGCAAGCTCTCATGCTCTCGCCCACTATCATCCTCCAAGAAACCCAACAGCTTATCCTCTGATGTTCTTTGTTCTCATTCAGAGCCATTTAACAAAACAAACTTGAAACACCAGCATCTGCATCTGTAAAGTAACCTAACTCACATCACAGCTTATTGGATATTCCAGATGGCTTGCCCGTGAGGTGTTTGTGGAAGAAAGCTTGGATCTGCTGCCAAGCATCTATCTGTGCCTCACAGTGTGCCTTGGGCTCCCCTCCCCACACCACAGGCTTGCCAACTAGCAGGTGCATCGAGGCTGCACACATTGGGAAAAAGGGGGGTTCAATGTAGTGCCCTGCTCCAGGATAACAGACTATCTCAGGCTTTTCCTTCCCATGAGCTTGCAAACGTTTGCTCCCCTCAACTGCAAAGAATTCACTTTTCCAGTTGTGATCATCCTGACCAACAATGAACAAGAAGCGACTCTCAGCCTTCTCCAAAGGGATAAAGCTTTCGCAGTCAGGCCCTTCTAGTGGGTTGTTCAGTACATCGACAATGTCAGCAATCCCAGACTTGTTGACCTTGATTCGTTTTACATCAGCACCGAGGGGTGGAATGGTGACATCCTTGTAGCGGAGCACTGCGCCCACATTTGCCACTGAGCCGTTGATAAGGGCAGTGGCCGCGATGCCCTTTAGGAAGGAGGCCATGGAGATGCACAGGTCACCCCCCTTTGAGATTCCAAGCAACCCAATCCCCGGACCTTTAACCTGGAGGGGAGAGAAGAGAAACCACAAACAATGAACCACGGCACACCACTTCTTTAAAATGTTGCCATGTTCGCAGCAGTGTCTGTCCTGAATCTGGACCCCAGGTAGAGACATCTAAGGTCCTCTGTGCAGAGCCCACGTCTGAGGGACCCTGGGGCATTGTTCCATGCTTGACTGAGGATCATAAGCCCTGCTGAGACTACAGCGTCATCCTAACAAAACTACAAGGCTCAGTGCTGAAAGGGTATTGCAGAGGGTACAGCTGTGCTTGCAAAAAGCATGCAGATGTGCAGCCCGACTCACTTTGCTTATAAGGCAGTTCAGGGAAGAAGAGGGAAGGGGCAGGAGACGCCTCTTCTACCAATGCTTTCTTTCAGTGCAAAATGCTCAAAGTCAGCAATGACTATGATACTGTCAATAGTTACGATAACGTATTTCTTGTATTCAACCACTGTCTTTGATTCCCTCATCAAGAAGGGTAGCAGACTCCACATCAGCTGCTCTCCCATTTCTCTAGTATGCTTGGTATCTAACAGTGAAAAGGAAGTATTCTGAGGTAGCTTACTCATTAAAATGTACCTTAAAAAAATAACCCATTAAAAGCATTTTTCTAAGCAAATTGTGCAATCCTCTGGAGTCAATCTAGAATAGGTTACCTTCATTTTCTTTTACACTGGCAAATTAACTAGAATAGGAAAGCTAAATGATCTTATGGGGTGCTGACACGGGAAGAAGGTTAGCTAATATCGCAACTGCTCCAATATCCAAAGACCCTCAGGGGTAAAAAGGTTCTGAGACAGCATCCAAATTTACTATTTTTTGTACCTTATCACCAGCGTTACAGGCTCCAAATCCACTGACTCTAAAGCAAGGATATAGGGCTGAAACTTTGTAACATGTTAAAAACATGGTGGGGGTATCGGTGGAGGTGTTAGTGGGAGGCTATGGTACTGCTCTCAGAGGAAGAGGGGAATAAAGCAATTTTCTGAGTTTTTTGGGTAGAGAGGTGGCACGAGCAGTTAGGGTTAGTCTGACTGAAAAGCAACCAAGACCTTTAACAACTACTCATCTTTCTGAGGCTGAGGAAGGTATTTATTTTGAGTTCTCCAGAGAAACCAAGTGCTGCCTCATGCAATTCTAGTTATTGTCACGGACAGCTACTTGGAAGGATATGCAGAACCAAGCAGGGTTCTCTTCCAAGAGGTGTCACAACTCAGAAGGATCCCTAAGTTCACAACTAGCTACTAAAACCCACACTCACCAAATACCATCATTTGGAGTGATTTTAACAGCTTATACTACACACAGCAACAAACGGGTACTGGTGGACTTCCTTGAGACCTGGATCACGGAAGCTTATCATGTGCTGAAAAGGACATTGAGTTTTGAAGGACATTCTACAGAACATAAACCTAAAAGCCCCACTGGAAGTCAAATAAGCCTCCAGGCAACTAGTACCCTAGTTATGACGCTGGCTTGAATGGAGCAGAAATTACCAGCATGTGACCTACGTGTCACTGTGTCAGCTGGCCAGTTCAAAAGGAAGAACTGGAATAATCTGCCAGAGAACCATTGTAATGGGAGTTAAAGACATACAGCAAATTAATTACAGCCGACTGGAATGGAGATGCTATTTTAAGTACAGCAGCTCTGCCCCGTCTGCAGTGTGACAGGACCTGAGTTCCCTGTAGTGAGAAAGCGTCAATGAACAAACCAACCTGGGTGTGTTGTAACATATAGTTTACGGCTTCTTCAAAATACTCCAGGTGGAATTCCTTCATGTCTTTGGGGAGATCTTCATAGCCGTAGAAAGCCAGAGCCAGCACAGCAAAGCCATAGTTGGCCAGCAGGCATGCCCTGTATTCAGGGAGTCCTCCTCCAGTTCCATACAAGTCAATAACTCCCGGAAAGGGGCCATTTCCTGCAAAAGACCACATAACAGGACACATTAACCCACAATTTTTAATTTATATTCCAAATTCATAGGCCTTGAAATATGTTGTTTTAAAAAAGAATAAAATGTAGAGCAGCAGAATGTCACTAAAGGTCCTAAATTACTATGCCAGTTTTCAGTAAATGGCTACATTGCTTCAAGATTAAACAAGACAGCACAAAATAGCAGGCCTGCTCATGTTTTTGGATAACATTGGGGAACACGTGGCTGGAAGGGCAGGGATCCCTTAACAGTCACAACTAGTTCTCTGTATTATGTAAATTCACTGCAAAGGTATCAAGCTCTGCTTCAAAAATACCCAGGAGGCCTCTCCCCAGTGCATTTCTCAGAAGACTGATCCAAAAATCTCATCTTCTGATGGTTCCAGCTTCTTAGTTTCAGTGTAAGTGTAATATAACCATTTATTCTGGGATTGAGAGAAGAAAGTATTTGCAACCAGCCTTGCGAACCTGGTGAAGGAAGCTTTCCATGAAGTTCATCAGGGGACAGGGTCTGAAGTCCAGAGCTGAGAGGGATTGCTGCAAAGTATGGAAAGGAGGAGGCCAAGAGGCAGACTGCCATTCCTTCTCAGAAGGCAGGGCGAGGTGTTTGCAGACTAACATGCAGAAAACTTGGGCAACAAATGAGAAGAACTGGAAATTCACCTCCAGCCACAGGGCTACAATGCAATCAGAGTCCGGGACACTGGCTGGGATTGTGCTGTATGATTTTGGCACTATCATGAGGTGTTACCAGGGGCAGACAGGGAAGAAAGGGGAGAGGGGAAGGCACGTGCTACTTAGAGGAGCTCCTCAAGTACATGCAGTTCCAGAGGCATGCTTGGTGGAAGCTTCTGGGTCACAGGGGGAAGGAAAGGTGAGATGTAGTGGTGGCGCGGCTGCTACAGACCACTCAACCAAGAGGAGGCAAGAGATGACGCTTCTAACAGACAACTAGCAGAAGTTTGGACAGCTCCTGGGAGGACAACACAGCATTTGTCATGTTGAGAGATATTAGTTGTTTAACTTAAATAAGTATGTTTTAATGAGGATAAATGACTTAGGGTTATAACATGGTGTGATTTATGCTGTTTGCCTAGCTTTACTTGGCACAAGTAGCTCGATTTGCTGAAGCCTTTAGGCCTCAAAAATTTTCTTAGTCATTTTCCTAGCAGCTGGTACAGTGCTGCGTTTAGTCTTTTAGTATAAGGAAAATGTTGATAACACACTGATGTTTTGGTAGAGTTTTCCCTAAGTCTGGGACTTTTCAGTTCCCCATGTTCTGCCAGTGAGCACAGGTGCCCAAGAAGCGTAAACCAGAAGATAAGGAGGCTACACACCTCAGCAGAAACTGTAAATAAAAAAGATAAGAGCAGTCAATGATCTGCCTGCCTTGACACAAAAAAAGAATCCAATATGGTGTTAGAAGACCCCAGACCAAAAATCACCGTTGCACTGAAAGACACATGAACAGCATGTATAGAGCGTGTGAGGGGCAGGTGTATAGATCACAAGCATTTAATTCCCCAGGGATTTCTTTATTCGCTGTCCCTCTCTGGAGGCACCCAGTTAGCTGACCCAGCTGCCGTACCTTTCAATTAAATTATTTACTTTTATAAAATCTGACACCTGAGACTCTGCTCTGGGAAACCTAGGGTCGAGCCTGAAGAAGGAGGAAGCATGCCCAAGAGTGTGTGTGTGTGAGAAGTGGAAAGGGGCACCTGTCGGCTCACTGGGGTCACCTGCTGCAAAGGGACGACTCTGGTCCTAAGCAGTTAAGGACTCGGGTGGTGTGTGTACGACTCTGTGACTGGTGTGTGAATGCTCAGGCAGCGGCTTCTTCTTTAACAGTCAGGCAACCTGAAAACCTCACAGACCCTCTCAAAGATTATTTTCTGACAAAAATACTGCAAAGGCAAACCTGTCTAATGCTTTCCTTGATCTGCTCACAAACGGGGAAGAACTGGAGACAAATGTTGCGGCTAAAGGCAACTTGGACTGCCGCAACATTATTAAGTTTAGGATCCGCGGAGAAGCTGGGAAGGGAGGGAAGCAGCAGGCTTAGGACTCTAGACCTTCAACTTACTCAAAGAATTACTGGTTGCATTCCCTGGAAAGCAGCCAGGTAGAGGAAAGGTACCTTGGACTGACAACACCTCCCACGGCATTTGGAAACAAAAAGAGGACTGTGATCAATGCCTTCATGTCCAATACGAGTCAATAAACCAAACTCAGGTGTTTCACCCACTGCAGCGTGAGGAGTGCGGCCAGCAGATCAAAGCCGGTGGGGTTGATCAGGCGGCTCCTTGAGGAGTGCCCGGTGCCAGCCGGAGAGATCCACCTCCCCCCTTCCCCCTGCCCTCTGCCTGCTACCGGGCTCAGGGGGAGGCTGCAGGGGGTCTGGCTCCGGGTCTGGGAGCGCAGGGCCGAGAGCGGAGGCAGGACCCGCGGGGGAAGGAGCCCGGCACGGCCGGTACTCACCGGGGGGCAGGAAAAGCGTTGCCCGGATCCTCCCCTCTCGCACCGGCACTCTCCGCACCCCGTCCCGCAGGAACGCCCGCTCATGCTGCGCCTGGGCCAGGAGCCGCCCGGGGGGGTCCCCGTGGCCATCAAACACCTCCAGATGCAGGAGGAAGGGGCTCTGCACGTCCCGCTTCACCAACCGCCTGAAGGGCTTCTGGGGCTGCAAAGCCCAGAGCAGCCCCATGGGCTCCAGGCCAGAGAAGG